CTCAGAACTTTTATGACATATCACATAGAAAGGTGATGGTTGGAGTGGCCATGCTGTAGTCAGAGTTATGTGAGTGATGTCTGGCCAAGGGCTGCTCCTTGGGCTGCTGCTCTCTGTGGTTTCTGTCTGGTAGGGCATGGCAGGGCAGGAGAACCTGCTGAAGCACAAACTCCCTTGCTTGTGTCCAGTCTGCCTTGGTCCCTGGCAGGAGTAGGAGTTGTAGATGCAGGAGATCTCCAGGAATGTTTGCTGACCTGGGAGGAAAGAGTGTGCCATTCCTCAGGATGTCCCGTGGGAGTCCCTCTGGTACTGACCACCTGATCTGGAGAGGCTAAAGATGTGTGGGACTTGAATCCCACAAGCTGAAAACATTCAGTGGAACACATGGGAATGAAGACAAACACAGGGAAAAATATGCAAGAGGATATAAAGTATAGCTAATAATTTCTGTCAGGCAAACATTTTTTTACTCTATCATGTTTGAAATACTGAGGATAGCATGTATCTCTGTTATCTAGTATTTAGCAGCATTTATTTTGATAAGAGCAATATGTATTAACATTTGGACAACATCAGTTCAAGACAGGGAGACTGAAAATATTCAAAAACTTCTAGACTATTTCACAAGCACAGCTTCACCTTTGTCCCACATGCAAGACCAGGTTTCAAACTAAACTAATCCTTAGTGCACAGCTATGTCTCCTCTCATGTCCACATTCACCACTATGGTGAGATCTATGGATGCAAATAAACAGAAGAACAGCCAGTGAAATACCTGCTAGTGAAAGTGGGTGTGGAAGTGACCCAAGCCACAGAGGACTTTTGGCCACCAGGAGGATTTAATGGCATCATTGGCCACACTTGCAGTTTGCTTCCAGTTTATAGCTACCAAAGTAGCTATATTTCAATCCCTGAATTTGTCCAAGTTAGTCATGCAAAACCATAAATTGCATTTCTGGACATTTGCAGTGAAGTCTGTCCTCTCTCTGAACTCAAAAAGCAATTTTCTGACATATTGTATTACAGCCAGCTTTGAGATAGGTACCTGGTTAGTACAGAGTATTGGATATCCAGTACATTCTGAATATATGTTAATGGTAAACTGGCTAATTTAATTTCCTTCTGTAGGTGTGTAATTCTGGCCATCTTGATAAAGTTTTCACACTAGTGCAGAAGTTAGAAACCTGGTACAGACAACAGTGGTTGTCAGTTTCAGTTATATTTTCTCAAAATACATCTAACTAGGAGTGGTAGGAATGACTTCTAGAGGTAATGAGATATATATTACATGGTCCTAATTTTGCTAAGAAAGTTAATGCCAGAGTTGTGTTAATATTGAGGAGTTTTTGCAAGAAGAGGGTATTGTGAATAACCCCATCATGTATATTTTAACTGAATGTGTAGATATTACTTGGGAGTAATGCTCATGATTGAGTCTTTGTGCAGTTATTAAATGAAATATTTTATTCCTTGAATGAAGCTCACTAATACATCATCTTTTGCTCTAATAATTTCATGTCACCTACACCAGAAGCATCACTTCCATCTATACAACACAGGACAAAAGTTCTCTCTTTATTGCCAAAAGGATATACAAAGGGAAAAAAAATATAGGAAGTGTTATGAACAGATCAGAGAAAAGGCCAACAGTCCCTCCTAACCCCAAATGTCTCAGATCTTGTGATTATCTGGACCTTATATTTCAATATAACTTTTGAAAAAGTGACTGCAGTCTTAAATAATTCTTTGGCTTTCACTAAACTCCAGCATATGCCAAATAACACAGCAATTTATTTCCAACACAAAGCACCTAAAACACGAGCTTATTTTTATCTTACAAAACTGCCAAAGATGCTTTGAAGCATTCATCTCATAACTGTGACTTTTCAAACACTTTTTTTCAATTATGTCATAAGGAAAACTTCTGAGAGCAATTAAAAATGCCTTCAGACTTTTTAGATGCTCTTTGCACCTACAAGACCCAGCCAGGAATAGTCTCACAGTCCCAGTGTATGTCAGTAGCTTTATTTTACGTTAAGATTTTTCACCAGTCAATCAGTCTGGTAAGTGAAAATGTGCTGGTTTGCATGTGTGAACATAGACATGATTTTTAGCAAATCTGAGGCCACTCTTGCCAGTAGCCCCGTTAAATTGTTTTTATCAGTCTGGTTGACTGGAATGTTCAAGTATTTACAATAGACTCAAGAGTATTAGGCTGAAAGTCTGACTAATGCACTACCAAATTAGACATGGCTAGGCAGTTGTGTAGCAGTTTTCAGCTGCATACTCCAGAATAAAAAATTAAAGTGTCATGCAAAACTCTTAAAAATGTATTTTAATTGAGAGTCTTTAGGACTCCCCTCTCCCTTTTGCTTCCTGAGGGTGCTCTGAGAAAACAGAACCAAGCTGTAAGTCATGTGGAACACTCTGCTCATCTTAAATCTTCTTTCTTTAGAGGCTGAGCTGCTTTTGGTAACCTAGTACTTACTGAGGAATGAAAGCATGTAGCTGGGCTACTCTGTGGCTTGCTGCTGTGCTGCAGTGGTGGCTTGTTCATGTCTCATCCATCCCCTTGGTGTTGAAGGCACACATCTGGTCCTGCACACTGTGTTTGTCATTTATCTGTAACAGGATGTTTCCCAGAAGTTAAGCTGGAAAGGGGAAAATAGTTAATCATGTGCATGAATTTGGTAGGCAAAAAACCCCTTAACAACACTTAATAGGAAAATATATAGGGTGGTTAAATAGAACATTACAAGAGATTGAAACTGGAGGAACAAAGGAGCAACCAGGTGTACAGTTTAGTCAAATGGTGTAAGAAAAGACTGTGTCAGGAATGGGGTTTGACCTCTGGAATTTGTTGGGTTTACCATTACAACTTATTTACACAAGACAGTTGGAAATTAAGAAAATGTCAAACTAAAAAGCCAAATAAATATTTGGCATTCACTCCTTATATATAGATGTATGCACACAGTCACACAGACACACAGACGCACAGACACACACATATTTATGATTCACTTCTTGAATGAGAAATTTCTTTTTCCCTTCAGTCTAGGGTATAATCCAGGGGAAAAGCCCCCTCATTTCAGCCCAGACAAACACCTTGCTACTGTGCCCAAACATCTCCATTTGCACCCTCAGGTGCACAGAGGTAAATCTGTTCTGCAGCTGGGGCAGCACAGGTTGCACTGGAGGTGTCATAGCTACATGTGGTTTCCATTACCTCAGCTAAGGTGCTGCTGCAGTTAGTACTGTAAATTAGCATAGCTTTTAATCTCCTCTTCTGTCTTTAGACGTTGCTTTCATCCAAGTTTCATCTTTGAGCTCTGACTTGCACTCAGATGGGAAATGTCAGCTGTCAGCTCGGTTTACAGACTTGGATGAGGGTTTGGAAGAAAGGGACTCACCAGAAGACTACATGGCCTTGCTGTAGTAATATTAAACCTCTTGGACAAGTGACTTCACTGGACTCTTAATTTATTGGTAGTTTGAGGAGAGAGAAGGAAGAATCATGTCTACTTTTGATTATGACCTGGCCATGGGCCACTTGCCCAGAACTTGGCAGGAGGAGCCCAGCTTCTGACCAGTTGGACTCTTTCAGCCATTTCTCACAGTGATTAGACTGAGCCCAGTCTGGTGAGGAAACAGGGAGCTTTTAGGAGGGCCTGCTCTTGTTCAGGGAGCAGGAGCTGTGCAGGAGGCAGGTGGGCAAGCCTTAGGCAGCTCTTCACATGAAGAAGCATCACACAACTCAATTGCACCTTGCATCAGTTTGCAATTAGCTTGTGTGCAAAATTTCACTCATCAGCATTGCTTAGCTTGAGATCTGACATGACCAGACTCTTTCTTTTCTTAGTTCTTGCAGAGACTGCTTGTGAAACACAGGAGCTGGAGCTCCTCCAGTGCAAGGATGGGAGCTTTTCCCTGTTTTCTATGGAGTCAGGAATTTTCTCCACCTGGCACTTGGGTGTAGGTGCTTGCTAACAGCCAGAGCAGGGTGCTGCCACTGAGGCTCCCCATTGATGTGGTGGCTGGGGAGGCGTGTGGGAGTTGCCTGGTATTTTGCTGCTGCAGGTGGTGCTTTAGTCTGGGCGCTGTTTGCTGCCCGCTGGTTTTCTCATTTGTTCTTTTGTTTACATCAAGTCTTCATGAAAGGGTGAGGTGCTCTCATGCAGAGCAAGCAAAAGAAACATAAACATACACACACACAGGCTGGAAGAAATATGGGCACGTACTTAGGCCTGAAGCCATCAGCGGTTTGCCCCACTGGTTTGCTCTGTTGGGGGAAAAGACATTTACAGAGAGAGGAGACCTCCCCAGACCTCCCATCACAGTCCTCAGCCCTGTGGCTTCTTCTGCTTCTGCACACTTCATTATGCCATCAGGTGGAGCACACTCCAGGCTCTCCAAATCCATTCAGATGCTGACCATGGTGTGTGAATCCCACAGACCTCATTGCAGTTTCCTCCGTTGTTTTTGCCATCATTTTAGCAAGAGACAAAGCCAAGTGATCCTCTAGGTGATGCCACCCCATATATTCTGTTCATTGAGATGACTGCTAGCCAGAATATGATAGAAATTGATTTAGAAATGCTTTGTGTAAATGCAAGTATTTTTTCTTACAATTGTGCTGGTATTGAGGGTGTTTGTGTTACAGACATGCTGGGAGACTCTGTCCTGTAGGATATGTGCATCTGTAGAAACTGAACTTTGGGCTCAGCAGTTTACAGAATGAATTTTTTCTCTCTGTTTATTGATGCAAGTACCTGCAACAACCATGCTGAGCTCATCCAGTCTGGGGCTAGGAACAGCCCCTGAAACTCATCTGTCCAGTCATGACCGAGCTAAGAGATTTTTGCTAAGTTGTAGGAGATAAAAATGTAGAATAAAAAGAAAAGAACATCCCCAAATGACAAGTTATGTAGTAGTAATAATGAATAATTTTAGGGAAATGGTGATCTGTTCATGAAAGAGCCATGAGAAGAAAAACAAGCTAAATTAGTCAGATGATTTATTCATTGTGAATGATTCACTCCATTACTGTCTGCTTCCTCCACAGGCCATAGGAGCTAATATATAAACTGGTAGAGGAAGGGTGGGATCGATAGCGAGCAACCTCTGCCTCCTCTCCAGGGAAAATAGGTCACCTATCCCTGCTGTGCTGCTTTCTGGGCACAGAGCACATCTCAATAGACTGAGCATTCATTTTCAGCTAATGAAGTTTGGGTTTTTCAGGGCAAAATTTTCCTGAGGAGTGTTTCTTTTTTTCCTTCAGCTCTCAAGCCCGTGCTCGCAGTTTGGCCGGCTCCCTTCCCCCGTCCTGACAGCTCTCATTGTTCCCAGATGATGGCTGTTTGCTGGCCTGTAAAAAAAAAAAAAAAAAAAAAAAAAAAAAAAAAAAAAAGAAAAGAGATTTTGTGGTTTAAATGCAGTGTCCTTTACACAGTTGGTGCTGTGGAGGAAGGAAACCTCCCGGCAGCCTGGGGATTTGCTCAGTGTGGGACTGCGTGCTCCTCAGGAGAACCAGGCCGCAGCAAACCCCTGGGTGCAGGCCGTGACAAGCTGTGGGTGCTCAGTAAGCTCACTGGGGCTCCTTGTGTGGCCTCAGTGACACACACCCCATGCCTGTGGGATGTGGGTTTTCCTGCCTGCTCCACACCCCATGCCGGCCCCGGGCCCACTGCAGGCACTGGGAAAGCCGGCAGGGAGATGCACCAGGCCTGTGCGGGAGGATTCTGATCTGCAGAAAGCTGCCATGCTGGGAAACATTCCTCAGGCTCCTTTTAGCTCCTAATAAGCAATAATATTCTCTGTGGTGATGCCTCTGCTGAATTTTCTTGTACCCAGCACAACCCACTGTTTATCATGTGACTATTTATAAACTGCTGCTGAAGCTTCATAAACGCTTTTTGCTCCTCGCTCAAACTGGAGCTGAGCAGCTGGAAATTGTGTTGCAAGCACAGCCTGAGCTGAGCCTGAAAGACAGAAAATGTGCACAAAACTCCTGTGGATGGTATTTATTAGAGAGCTGCTGGAGAAGAGTTGCCAGCTCTGGATACTGAATGTATTGAAAACTTGAGAGTGCAGGGTTTACTTGCCGGTTCATCTTTAATTAATTACAGAGGGCAGTTAGGGGAAGAGGCTGCTGCTGGACTACCTGACTCATTGGGCAGCTCTGATGGACATTGCTTATGTGGTCCTCTGCCATGACTGTTCTTGTGGCCCACACAAGGTCAGGCTCTGTGTCCGGCTTTGAGCACTCAAGTCAAATCCCCAAAGCAGTGGGCACATCAGGCAGCAGCTGAGGAGAGGATGGGCTTGGGGATGGCAGTGCCCCTGGCAGCGCTTCCTCCACACGCCCCAAAGAGGGTTTTGCAATGTTTCACACTCCTGGTGGATTTGTTTGTAGCTAAATGTCAGTCTTTAGGCTTCCAATGAGCAATATGCATAAAAAAACCCCCAAAACCTAAAAGAGTACAAAACAGGTTAGTGTATATTTAGGTTAAGTGGTTGTGAACAAACAGCTCTGTTTTTGCAGGTGTAAGGGCTTCTTCATCTGAAGAAAAGAATTTTAAAGATTCTATTTAAAAAAAAGGAATGAAAGAATAAAAGAATGGAAATGTTGCAATTACTTTGTAGATGACCACAGCTTTCCAGGCAGCTCTGGTGTATATATAACAAAGAATCTCACAGGTTCTGGAGAAAACCAAAGACCCAACTCTGCATGAAGTCCAAAGAGAGTGTGTTGTGTGAAAACATTGGTCATGAGGTCAGGTCTTCAGTTCCAGTGTTGTGCAAACACACAACTGCATTTGATGGCCACACCTCAGCCACTAGAGAACACTTGTCACTCTTCAGCCGTGCTTCAACCTGAGTTTAGCTCTAGAAACCCAGGGTAGATGCTCTAAAACCTGCTGCTGAAATTCAGGACAGAGCAGTCATCTGTCACAAGGAGCTTGAATCATGCCCAGTTTGAATGAGATCCAGACCCAAACCAACAACCTAACTGCAGTCTTTGGCAGAAGTGCCTGGATTTAGTGGCCAACATCACATTCAAACTTAAAAGATTTCTGCAAGTCACTCAAAATGTACACCAGAAATCTGTCTAACAAAACATGATCACTCCATGATAATTTGGTCCAAACTGCAAAGAAACAAGCAAACCAAAGGCAGAACCAACAATGGACATCAGAGTTTGGTTCGGTTCAGTTTAACCAAATTCTGAGCATGCAGTTAAATAAAGCAGATGTCAGCCACAAGGTGCAATGAGCCCAAATATGGACCAGCACTGTTTGTAGCCAGCTCTTCAAGTCCCCAGAACCCTACTTGCTACCACACAGTGGCTTGGTCTGAGTGTTTGCCATGGTATTGAGTCTCCTTGGGCTTGCAGGGAAGAAGAAGAAGCAGGAAAATGGTTAATGTACATTATTTTTTCCTGCATTCTTTTTTTCCATATTTTTTTTAAAACCTGATGTAGAATAAGCTGCATGGGGAGAATACAAATACACAGTTATAATACATGTCAATGCAGCAAAATGCTGGACTCTGTCAATTACTGTGGCACCGTATATTTTTATTTTACTCCTTTGGGAAAATATATCATTGAAGTAAAAAATCATTTGGACAATGTAACTACATGGAGAATATCCAATGCATGAAGACACTCCTTTGCAGTGAGCTGCACATGGAGTGATATGGAAAATGTAAGGAAACCGAGGAAAAACCTCCTGGTCTAATTGGTGATACAGTGCTGCCAAATGAGTGTGCCTCTAGAACACACTTGTTGCTGTAAGTCACCTTCAGAGATCCCTTGAAGCTACAAGGGACACAGCTGAGTCCTTTTGTAGTAACAGTATTCTGAAGAGGTGGAAAAAAATCCACCACAGCAGCCAAAACTGACTTGGGCAGCAGAAAAATGAACACCTGGGAGGAGGAGCTGCTTGGGAATGTATGGGGCAGGGCTGAAAATCACTTCCAAATTATTTTGTTCAAGACTAGAAGAGCTGCCCAGTAACATGCGCTAGACAGCCTTGGATTGTCCAGAGTGAACTGCTTTTGAAAGGAGGACATGAGCCAAAAAATTGCATTTTGCTCACCTGGCAATGAATTCAAAATTAAGATTGAATTATTTTGAATTGTGTGATTGAAGATTTTTGAGCAAGTTGGGAAAAATAAAGAAGAAAATAATCAGGAGGTTGCTTGCTAAGTTGGGTTTTTATGCTCGTTAGCCCAAACACAGAGCCAGGGAAGGGAGACCTCAATTCCCTCCTCTCCCTGGGGGAACATGGACCTCTGGGCTTTGCTCCTGGGGGATGTTCTGAGCCCAAAGACTGGGACAGGGCTGCTCTCCTGGACCACTTCCCACCTCTAGGAGTGGGAGCCGCGTGGGGGCCTTCTGCAGCCCCTTCACTGTGGGCATGTCAGGCTACATGGGGATGAGATCTTGGGGATGAGACTTGCTTTGAACAGAATACTGGGCCAATTTTTTAACAGTGGGGAAAAATCTCCAAGTAGTGGGATATTAGCCTTGAGGATTTCAATTGGGGTAGATGGCACTTTTCTTCTTCAACCAACACTGCCAAGGAAGGATCAGTCAATTCCCATAATTCCTTTAACCATATTGGTCTACCATCTCCATTCACCTTCATATCTTTTTATTAAAAAATACGCCTGGCAATAACTTTTGCATCAGGAGATATGCATGAATTGTGAATTATTGACTATAATATTGCATGATCATCTAAGTCTGTCCAAGTTTTCAGAACTCGGTATCCAGATCTGTATGCAACATGTCAGTTACTTTGCCCTTTAAATATCTGCTTTTTTTTTTTCCTTTGGGCTTGTACAATATATTATTAAAAATTGTGAAGGAAATTAATCTGTTTTTCAGGTAATAAATTAAATAGACATTACTCTCGAGAAAAAGGAGTGCATTATTTTAACTGCAAAATAAATCACAATGAAGATGACGTGTTTTCAGGCATGTAGACCAGTCAGTGTGTATAAAAATACACCCAATCCTTTAATTATATCTGGGCTTTGAGTAGAAATTTCTTTAATAGCAATTAAAATGCTTCCACACACAGAAAAGCTTTCACCTTTTCAAGAATATTTTGCTTTGCAAATCTAGGTGACCAGCTAACCTTCATCCTTGGATAATGGATGGAAAATGAGTGGTGGTGGCAGGGGCTGGCTGCAGGAGAAGCGGGCTGTGGGAGAGGGTCGGGCTGGGCAGCTCTTTGCAGTGGAGGTAAAGTTTCCCTTGTCTCCTTTGCATATTCATGTGGTGGACCTGGCTGTTAAATCACAGTTTTGATTTGCTTTCTTAACAGATTTCACTGGGTTAATTATGTGGAAAAATTGGTAGCAGCGTGTATAACATATATCCAACTCTCTCACAATAAATTAAAATTACTTTAGCAGTCACAACATTTTGTCGTTTTCAAAAAAAGACTCAAAGGTAAATGTTGATTTTAATATGGTTGCAGCTATTCCCTTGTAAGTTTAGTGGTTAGAATGCCAGCATATCTTTCAAAAAATACTTAAGGGCTATTGATTAAAAAAGTAGCTGCAGAGCCTGTGGTGCAGGACATGCCTTGCATTTGGGAAACTGTATAGACATCTTTATATTAAACGTATCCACAGAACCTCAAAAGATCAGGCTGGAACTGTAAATTGTAACCCTCTAGCAAAAGTTTAATGTTTGTTTAAAGGGGGCAGCTTTCTATTACATTGTTTGAACAGATCTCCTCAGACAATGATCATAACCTCGTTCCCTTCTCCTGCACATGCTGGTTATGATATCTATACTCTGCTTATCATATGCGACTTCACTTTTATGAGCTGTCTCTGGCTCTCACCTGATTTTATGCTTGAAGCCAATGGGAATAACGCGGAGCCCTGAACAAAACGACAGCCTCAGATTTTTGAGAGGTACTTGCAACAGCCACATGTTTGACCCTGGGCAGGGAGATGGGATTGGTTTTGTTTGTTTGTTTTTTTAGGTTTGTTTTTTTTTTTTTTTTTTTTTTTTTTGTGTTTTTTTTTTTTTTTTTTTTTTTTTTTTTTTGGTGCAACCCCGGCGGGCGGAGGGCAGAGAGGAGGTCCCCGCTCGGGGTCAGCCCTGCCCGGAGCTGTGCCGTGCCCTGTGCGGGTCGGCTGCGCTGTGCCGTGTCCCGGCTGCGGCGCCGCTCCCTCTGCCCGGCCGGGACAGCCGCGCTCCGCGCAGCCCCGCGCACACACAGCCACGCGTTTTCCCCAGCACAAATATCGGCCCACGCTGGTTTTTCATGCACAATTTAGAGTCTCTGCTTTTGACAACATGACTTGTAGCTCTCGGGTTTTCTTTTCTTTTCTTTCATTTTTTTTTTTTTTTGTTGTTGTTTTTGTTTTAATTTTCATTGACAATGCCTTTTAAATCTGTTATTGCCTACAACTTCGGCATTTTGTGCCGAAATCTGCATCTAACCTATACACATTGTCAAAGACCAGCCTACCAAAATAATTAATCAAAAAAAGTTCAGACATTAAGTTGGTCGCTGAATGGCTGTTCCAGCCTGTGTAAAACAGCTGCTATCCACTACGTGACTAAGAATTAAAAAATGTCTCCACCATCCTGAAAAACAAATTTTAACACCTAAGCTATTAAAAATTAACAATGCTATCCTTTAAAAACGATTGGAAATGTGTGAGCAGGTTTTTATAGAAAGCATATTTGGACAAGGAGCAATGGCTCAGTGAGGAGGTAAAAAAGATCTCAGTCTGTACATCTTTGTGTGTATGGGAAGGGCACGTAGGATATGGTTCCCAAGCCCAGCAATTCCCTCTCTCTCCCTGCGTTTGGTGAACCTGCAAGGGCAGCAATAACAGTCCTGCACTACAGAGACTTCAAACCCTCCTCTATCTAGGTTCTCGTGCTATGCTCTCATCACTGGGGTTTTGCACCTAGGAAGGGCTAATAGGTACTAATTATGATTGTAGCAGCAGCTATTTTTGCTATACTTAGTATGGTCCCATATGCTTAGGATTCTAGAAGACAAAGGGGACAAATTGAATGATTTTGGATGTGAAATTCATTTGCAGTGCTTTAATTCCTTAATCTAAGACTAAAGAGTGCATTGGATATGCTGGCCTAAGAGTGAATATGCACTGAGCCTCCTGGGATTTTGTCTTACGTGAAACGGCCCCAAAATTTTCAGAAAATAGTAGGAAAAAGATTTTTATTTTTTCCCCCCTCTCCCCTTTTTTTTTGCTTTTCAGCAGAGTAAAATACAATTTTGCTGTATTTGGCAACGTATTCTGTAAACATAGGAAACTGAGGGGCATGCATTACAGTATTGGAGATTTGAAAAATGCACACAGTAATGAAGAATCAAATTCTCCTCTGAAATAATTCCACAGATTTCAGTGGAATTAGGCCAGTAGGGAATTTGATCCTTAACAAACTTGTTCAAATTCTACTGAAGTTTCATGCTGGAACATATTCACAAACATCTAGAATAACTTAGAAATGAAAAATGTATTAATTTGATTAAATTGTTTATATACTGTACTTTCAGTACATATTTTTTTTTTGTTGGTTACATAAATAATTTAATATAAATTCTTGAAATTTATTTGGTAATTTTCTAAAGGTACACAAATAAGAAACTAATGCTACTTCAAGCATAAAAAGAAATTAATTATAAATTTTAAATTAATGTGACTAATTCCAAATTAAGGCATACTTATAAAAATATTTTGCCAGGCTAAATACTTATGCACATCTTCAGTTTTTTCTTTATCTTTCTCTTTTTGAAATTTTTTTTTCTTTGGTTTTTTTTTTTTTTTTTCAGCCTTCCCCATTGAGCACAACCCTATAATACCAATAAATGAAAAAATGCATTGAGGGAGTCAATATACTGATTGTATGACTTTTTAAAACAAGGTTCCTCTTGTGATAGCAAATTAATTTATGTTTTGCTTAACATAAAATTTTCTTTATTCTTAATTCAGAAGTAAATTGCTCTTTAAAACATAAGATTTTGTTTTTAAATAATTAACAGAGAAAAATGAACTTCAAAGCTCTTCAATTAATTTAATGACAATAGATTTTGAAGTATAAATGCAACCATTTGGTCCATTCAAGCAATAAAATTAGCAATAAGCATACAGTGTGAAATAGATTTTAGTACATATGTCTCAACCGAGGGACATGCCATCCTCACTGCAGCAGGGAAGCGCTCACAATTCCAAAGACTGACTAAATCCCAGGAATATTCAGGTTTCCTCAAAAGCCTCTGTTACTGAGCAATAATTTAAATTACAAGTAGCTATTAAAAAATAGCAAATTAAATGTGGAGAGTCCTCCACTTACTCAGGAGGCGAAGAGCTTTTTAAAGTGCCCTTTCCTAAACCAGATTTTGTTTTTTGTTTACCTTCCCCTTGTCCCCCCATAGAGCTCCTATGGAATATATGCATCACAGCTACTTAAAAGTTCGACAGTGAGAGCACAAATGTCAGCTAAAGGACATTATTCAGCACAAAACATCTGCACCAAGTTCTGGAATCACAGTAATACTATAAGGAATAAGCTGAGCAAAAATTCCTGTGTCTAATATTGTTACACAATTTTATGTGATAAATAGCCAGAACAAATGCTCGTCAGAATCAGGTTTTTGTTCCATCTTATGCTGCAAAACTAATTTGTGAATGACCCCAAAGATAGATGATTTGTTAATTTGCAGATGTCTCTTCACTTTCCTCTCCGTCTCTGGCTGTTTCAGGAGATTATGCATTTACTGACTCTGTGTGCATGTATAAAATATCTCTCTCCTAGGCATTTCTCAGTCACTCATCATACCATGTTCAAGTGCTAAATATATGTATTAGGCACACACATGCCCACCCACAAATGTGAGGTACATATACATATCTGCTAGCTAGACATTCAATTAAATATGTATTGTAAAAGGCATAAGTGATTTCAAAGATTTGAAGACAACCGTGATGACAGTATATATTACTGTTTAATTCACCAAGGCACATCTGCAAAACAGACTGGGGACTTATCTGTAAATCTTCTCTAGGAAGCTGAAGGTAAACATTATTTGTTTGCCAGAACAGTGTGGAAAAAAATATTTATGATTTCAAGAAATAGTTAGTGAAACCTTTGCTAAGGGAGTAGCAGTACATTTGCTTTTTAAATGAATTCATCTCAAGTAATCAGGATTTAGTTAAATGGACTAATGCCACTGAACGTTTCAGTCTGTCATTTGGGGTGTGAACACTGGCACTCAGAGGATACCTTTTAAGCACAATACATTTATGAACTCATTTCTTTTTCCCTGAGGAATAAAAAAATAATTTTTATGCACAGTATCAGTGGCCTTCTTTAATAATTTCCTCACTGCCGCAGCTCACCTTTAGAAAAGATGGAGAGTTTAACCACATATGGTAAAACTTTTAGCCCTGGGGGGTTTATTATAGCAATATTCCTTTTCAGTGCACTGTCCACCATAACGTTTCCTCACCAGGCAGACAGGCAGAGAAGCACAAAAATGAAACAAGCTATGTTTAGCAGAATTTTTACATACCATAATCTCTTTACCATGGTCAGGCAAGGCTGGAATTTTCAAGATGATCTCTTATGGCACAAATCCATTGCAGGACAGAGCTGATTTACAGCTTAGCACCATTCTCCACTCTTCACTGAGAGTAAGTTAAATGACCCAAGAATAACATTAATATGTACTATAACTAGATAGAATGGTGGTCTAAAGGGTGGTCTAAGGCATTATCTTTCACCCAAGGAAACTCAAGCTCATATATTGCCCAGAAATACTAATAAGGGTCAAGTATCATTACTATTTTAAGAGGTTGACAATGCAGTGAGTTATGGGGTATGATAGTGAAGCAGGGCTCTTCTCCTGCCTTCCAGCAGCCCTCTTGTCTCCCCTCTGTTATGTTTTGAACAAATCTTGGCTAAATTCAGACTCATTATTTTCTGTACTCTTTCACGGCTAACCTGGTTTAAAAATACCTGCTGACAAATTTTTTTTGCTCGTTTGGGCCAATATGCTTAACCTCGGCTGAGTCCCACAGTAAACTTTTTCTTCCTTTTCTCCCTTTCATTAGAGAAGCAATTTAGAATAATAAAAAAGAAAAAAACAAAACACCACAAAAACGGCATGGAAAAAACTGAAGTGCAATTTAAAAATCAGGTTAGGAGGGGCACTAAAATATTTCCCCAGTAAAAAGAAAGGTCTGACAAAACAGTAAATAGAAAAGTAAGATGTTGAAATTATTTTAAGACAGATGCCTTTTTAAACTGTGTTAAGAACTCCTATCATGGAGCCTGATTCCAGCAGTTCCTCACACAGGAGGTATTTTATCTTCACAACATCTGGCACTGTCAAGGAGGTACAGTTGTAGACCTTACCAGATGCAGACACTCCATACATAAAAGTACACTAACAAATCATACCATTAATAGCAGCACAACACAAGTGTTTCTTATACATCCATGAAGAGAACTATTCCATGGTTATGGGAAAGCTTAAAGAAAAAAAAAAGCCACAAAAAACCCCAACAACCCTTAACAGAAATTTCTTGTAATTCTTAAAACATAAAAATAACTCAGAGAGCTTTATTTTCAGCTTTTTTTTATAGATGACTGACAAGAAGGCTTTTTTCTTCAGGGTGAAAAACTCCTTGTCCCATAAATCTGTGTGGTTGACATATCTAGGTAAATTTGTATCCTTGCTCAAAGGGATCACTGGTTTTATTCTCTATGGATTTTTCACTCACTCTGTTGTGGAAAGTGAGTTGAGGCAGAGAAAAAATTGCTTGATATTTGAAGGAAGGTTTACATTATTTTATATCATCCACACTGCTCTGTTGTCACCTGGTTTCTTTTATGAACTGTTTAAAACATGATAGTATACTACACAAACCTTACCCATTTTTGAATATGTAGTTTGTTCCACACCCTGAAGGTCTTGAGCTCAATATTCCTCTCACGTCCTCGTCTGTTAGTTGGACATAACTGTATTAATCCCCAAATAAAACATGATGGCGTTTGGAAGTTATATATTATATTTATATAAAACACATGCTATGTTTCTTACTTTAATATTTTATTTATTTATTTATTTATTTTTCAGTCAAGGTGTCTCTGATAGTTTCTAATATAAAATGAGCAGTACTCCGTGGTTCAAGTAAGATGCCCTTTAAAGCAAATCTGAACATCAGTGGCATTAAGGTAATTGCCAAAACCCAAGGATTTAGTTTGCATATGCATCACTTGATCTTTCCCCTTTATGGTTCACCATCAGTGATCAATAACCCATAGGACTCATCAGTACAATGAATAGGACTTACAAGAGAGGCAGAACTTCTTTTTCTCATCTCTTTTTTCTCTGGCAAATAAAGTCCCCAACCTTTTATTAAATGGCTGAGTAAAATAAATAGGTCTCAGTGAAATAATCTTTTAAGATCAAAGCACTGCTTCATGTTTTGTACAATATTATCATAACAAAATGCACAGAACAGCAGCGAGCTGCAGTCCCAATGAATTATTTTAGTATATATGATACCACTCTTCTCAAAGCTGGAGCCATAACATGTTGTCAGGACCGTGTTTTCTATTTCTGCAACACGCTTTAAAATTTAATTTTCTCCAAAACGCGCTGTGCTTCTTGGAACTGAAGTGATTTTAAGAGCCTGCACCGCGTTATGACAGCGGCGATGGTGGCGGAGCACGCTTGGCAGAGGGATTAGATATGGGTCAAATGTTTAACCATCTGGATTTGCCATGAGCTGAACCTTATTTTTGATACCTCTGTTTGGACTAAGTGGAAAGCGATTCCTCCTTCGCCCTTCCCAAACTTTTCCTTCCCCTTTGCGGGCTGGCGTGGCCGTGGAGCCGCACTTCTCCTACCACCCTGTGGCAATCGCATGCCATGACACACGTCAGCTCAGCCCGGGCTGCTGGCAGCGAGCTGCAGCCATCGACAGAGTTATTTGTCTTCTGGTGATTAATTCTAGGAACAATTAACTTCCTTTCCTTTCCTTTTTTTTTTTTTTTCCCCAATGCAAATAATACACGCATAGGTGCAGAGTGATAAGATGAGAGCAAATCTGTAAAAGAGGTTACTACTGCTAAACTTTTTTTGGATGTGTAACTCGAACTGTATTGAAATAACTCTTAAATGTTGGAAGGGATAGACTCTGTTTCTGTGTCTGAGATATTAGTGTATTATAGAAGATCTTAAAGAAAATATCTGGGCAGTATTTTAGACATATCTATTTGCTTACTTAACATATCAGGAGATGATGAATGCAAAAAGTTATCTTGATCAAAAAGAGAAAGGTTAATACAATTAAAATTTTCTCACTGCATGCACATTTCACAAATTCCCTGCATTTTATATGTAGCAGATGGTGTTCAAACAAATCAAGAAGCTGAAGCTAAAAAAACCACCCTGATGGAGAAACTCATATATTTCTTCAAACGATAAGATGAACTGCAGATGTTTGTTGAAGAGTACTGCTGACGCAGGCGACCTAAGAAGCAAAGGCTTAAAAAGAAGAGTCCAGTTGTGTTTAGCACTGGCCAACCACTCTAGCTGTCACTGCGTGATTTATGAAGCTGGCTTGCTAGATTTTATGTCGACAGAGAAATTGCGATTAAAAAAAAGCCTGAGCAGTTATCTATGCTAACAGAGAACGTGGCAAAACCCCGGCTGCAGCATGCCTTACACTCCTCTTGCAAGTTTAGCTCTTCTGGGCAGACAAAGATATTTAAGCAGCATAACTCACTTCCATCAATCTTTCAGAGTTTTGACCAACATGCTTTCATGCTTCTGCATTTTGTCCACATGGTTCTTGGTAGTGCTGCTAGAATACTGTGCTTATCTGACACCTGCACTCAAATTAATCCCAAGTTAAGCCTGACAAAGTCACTAAAAGGAAAACAGTTGTCTGTTTAAGAACTTGGGAATCGGACACAAAACCAGCTGCTTGATACGTGCTTAAAAATCATTAGCAAGCACTTAAAAATTAATTTCAAGATTATGCTTGATAACGTTTACAAAACCTACAATTAACTCAGTGTTTCACTGGGACAAAGTCGCACCCTTATGTGTCAGTGTTTCCACACAGAAAATCACATGTTTTAGGACTTGTTGCAACTTGGCTGTAAATATTTACTTTAGACAGCAGTTTAGTAGTACACAAGGTTACAGCCCAAAAGTAAATATTTCATACCAAGTCTCAAATATATGGATTTTCCCATTTGTAAATGATTCAGGCAGCCTTTCCCCTCCCTTAGAACAGCTAAATCAATCTATAAACATAAATACAGCATTTCAGAGGAGAAAGGATACAAATCACACATCAGTACAGTAGTCCACAGGGAGTTTATTATGGGGTAATTGGACCAAACAAGGGCCAACTTCTGGCCTGATTTACAGTCTCAACAAATCTATTGACATCAGCAGAGGTCTAAGTCAAGGAAGAAATTGGCTTTGAGGGGTGGGAAAGACTTTTAAATTACTCCATCTTAGCCTCCCTAGGCTAACATCTGCTCAGAAGGGGCACCATTATAAATGTGATTTGCAAGCAACTCAACTTGCTGGCTGTGCATGGGTGTAACTCAGAGCAAGGCTTTGCCTCCCCAGCAATGCTTACTCATCAATTCTGAATTTGTCTTCTCCAAACAATTATAACCCTCCACAGGTATTGCATAACATCACTGAGCATGTGTGGTTTTCTTATATAATTCCTGGTTGCAAAGCAGAGCTCCAGGCTAGAAGCCAAGTCACACAGGGTATGAGCAGTTCAGAAATAACCACCATTCAGGTCTGTTTACTGCAAGGAGCTCTCAAAGGAAACCATCAAATTGAGGAAAACAAAGTAAGTAACCAGCTTTTGTTGGTGCAGTTTTGTTATATCCTTCCTAGGATTGCTCATGTTCCTGTGGGGTTGGGGAGAAGGTGTGGGGTCAGGTTAGTGTGGCTACTGGGATGGCAGCAGAGATGAAGGGCACCACCATGCCCATGTAACAGTGAAAAGGCATTTTGTAAGGTTTGCACAGGAATCTTGGGCCACCAATGAACATTCACTCAGCTACAGCTGGAACTGGAAGTGACCCGGAGTAAGTGTTTCATAGGCCATGGCAAATTGCTTGGAGATTTCAACGCATGTGACCATGTAATTATATCATACCTATCTTCTAAATCACTGGCTTTGTGGTCCCAGAATGGTTACCACAGACTAAAGGGCAGCAGTGTCTTCATCTCAGGGTTGATATGAGGTAACAAGGGGCATAAGGTCTCTATTTCAGATTAGCTTGTGGGTAAATGTCTCTGAACTGGCAGCTAGAATTTTTCTCATTTATTTTTGTGCCTTAGTTGGCCGTGATACTTCTTCTAGTAGCTGCTGTGCTTCTGTGATTTTCACTGAATTTACTGTGGAAATGAACACTGGCAGTTGAGTCTGAGTCAGATTGTGGTTCCGCCAGCCACAGGGTTTATGAATGTACCTCATGACTCAGTTTTCTGCAGTTCTTGAGCAGTGTGCAATCAGAAATAAAAGAGATGTTTACAGCGTAGTTATGGTTATTGTCAAACAAAGGAAACATTTGCAAACATGTCTTAAAATCTCAGGGAAGGTGACTGGATCTACACTATGGGTGGGCTGTTTCTGTGTCTGTAACCATGGTGCAAGAGGACAGGTTTGTACTTATCTTCTTTGGATGCTCTGGGAACTATTGGGTG